CCGGTGATGTGTGGGCAGGGCAGGTGTGCAGGGGCTGGGCTGGGTGGGGAGCGGCACCCTGGACTGGGGGGCCTGGCTTAGGGGTCTGTCTGGGCCAGGGGAGCAGGAGGGGCTTGAGCCAGGACAGCACAACAGGGTAGCAGAGGGCTGACCACCGCGAGGGCGGCTGCTATGGAGAGGAACGAGCGCGGCCAGAGCCCACCGGCCCCAGGGCCAGGAGAGGCCGGGGCCCGGGGCTGGCGGTCGGGCTGAGGCCTCTGACGGTCCTCGGTGCTCCCTGCCGGGCTCTGGGCTCCACTCACCTGGCACCCGGCCCTCTGTTGCAGGTCTGCAGCGGCGGCGGCTGATCCCCACCCCACTGCCTGACACGGCTGTGCTGGGCCGCAAGCCCAGCCTTCCTGGGCAGTGGGTGGACCTGCCCCCACCGCTGGCCGGCTCCCTGAAGGAGCCCTTTGAGATCAAGGTGTATGAGATCGATGACGTGGAGCGTCTGCAGCGGCACCGCCCGACCCCCAGGGAGGACCCCGCTGAGGTCAGGGTTGGGAGTCTGGGGGCTAGCTGGGCAGGCCCTGGGGGGCAAGTGGACCTCTGGAGAGACCGGGCAGCCTGCTGACCTCACCTTTTGTCCACAGCCCTCCCTGGATGTGGAGAAGGTAGGAGTGGGTTCCGTTTGTCCCTGAGCTTGTGCCCTGACGCCCCCCTCGGGCAGAGGGTGGGTGGTGAAGGCCCTGTGGCTGTCCCTGGCCCAGTGGGACAGGGTGCACCAGCTGGGGTTCCAGGCGGGTGCTTGGGGCACCACCTGTGTGGGGCATCAGCCCCAGTAGCCCCAGTGTGTGCCCACCGAGGTTTGGCAGAGGCAGGGAGGCTCCATACCAGGGCTCCGGGAGTCGGGCACAGGTCATCTTCCCGGCCCGAGCCCCCGTGCTGCCCCCAACCCCCAGGGCCTGGCGTGTGTCGGTGCAAAGCTGCGGCTGGCTGAGCGCAGACAGCAACGGCTGCGGGAGGTGCAGGCCAAGCACCAGCACCTGAGCACTGAACTGGCCCAGACGCAGGGCCGGCTGATGGTGGAGCCTGGCCGCTGGCTGGAGCAGTGTGAGTCCTCGCCCCGCCCCCCGCCCCAGGCCCCGCCCTCTGCCCGGTGGGCCGCCCCGGGAGTGAGCAGGACCCCCCTGGATACCCTGCTCAGTTTGACCCCCCAGCCAGCCACTTCCCATGCTCCGCTGGGCCAGGAGCCCCCGCCCTGCAGGCCCCAGGCCTGACCAGCGTCACTGCCCCCCCCTTCCAGTCCAGGTGGGACCCGACCTGGAGCCCGAGTCGGCCGAGTACCTGGCGGCCCTGGAGCGCGCCACGGCCGCCCTGGAGCAGTGCGTGAACCTGTGCAAGGCCCACGTCATGATGGTCACCTGCTTCGACATTAGCCTCTCGGCCCCCACTGCTGCCCCGGGGCCGCAGGAGGTGGACGTCTGAGGCGGCGGGGGAGGAGGCGTGGGGCGTGGAGGGCGGAGGGTGAGCCCGAATGTGGGTGGATGGATGGAGGATGTGCAGCGCAGGGGCGCGGCGGGGCGGGAGGGCCTGGGGTCCTGCAAGAGGGCGGCGGGCGGGCGGCAGGCAGAGCACCAGAGGGAAGACTGTCGCCAGGACAGTGACCAAGTGCCTTTACCTGGACGGGCCGGCCTCTCGCTTTCGGTGCTAAGGCCGGACACCAGCAGCTGCGCGCCCAGCGCGGGCAGCGGCCGCGGCCAAGCAGCTCCATGTGCCCGGCTCTGGGCTCCCCTTCCTAGACCACAGCTCCTCCGGGTCTGCGGGTCCACTCAGACACCCCGGGCGTGGGGGTCTCCCCGGGCCTGCTGGGTCCTGAAGATGCTGGCCTGCGGGGGTTCCCTCAGACGCCCCGGGGCTTGGGACTGTCTACCCAGGACCTGCTGGGTCTTGAGCATTCTGGGGTGGGGGTGTCCCTCCACAAATGCCCCAGGGCTTGGGGATGTCTCCCCAGGACCTGCTAGGTCCTGAGGATGGTCGTCTGGGGTGGGGGGGTCCCTCTGCAGATGCCCCGGGGCTTGGGGGTTCTCCCCAGGGCCCACCCTTTCCTGAGGATCCTAGTCTGCGGGGTTCCTTCTGCAGACACCCGGGGCTTGGGGGGTCTCCCCAGGGCCCCTCCTTCCTGGAGTGCTGAGGCACAGCACGCAAGGGCTGACGGAAGGCACTAGCGCCTTCTTCCACGGCAGGAATTCTTACCAAAACCACAAGCAAAAAATAATCACAAAATATGGGGTCTGGGTTTTGTAAGGTTCTGTGGGTTCCTATTTTTCTACCGTCCTGGCACACACTGTCTGCAGTTGGGCAGAGGCTGTGGCTGCCTGTGTGGGCGTCCCTCGGGGTCCTTCCTGGGCTGCCGGCGTGGGCGCGTCTGTCCCGGGGCTCTTCTTGACGTGCGTGTTTTTAGGGGTGCACCTTGTACAGACATGTACATAGCCTCCTGCTGCAGCTTTTTTTTGTGAATAAACAATGCCTCGATTGTTCTCCGGCTCCTGACTCCAGTGGGCTGGGGAGGGGCCATGGGGCTTTGGAGGGCCCCCGGCTGCAGGGGCCCAGCGCCAGGCCCACTCCCGAGGCACCCCAAGGCGCAGCCTGACGACGCCCGTTTCCTCTCTGATCCCTAGCAAGCCTCTTCCCCAAACCCAGCTCTAGGGCTGGGCGGAGGTTGGGGTGGGGCCTGGGCGCAGCTGTGGGCGGGTTGTGCTGCCAGCTGGGGAGCGCCCAGGACTCCTTGCCCGCCCTGGGGCCTGGTTGGGGGCACCTGCAGGGGGTGTCCCAGCTTCGCCAGAGACCCTCTGCCCTGAGCCGGGCCGCCCCCCTGCCACTGGCTGGGGCACTCTTCCTTGGCACCGCTGCGCCCCTACCCTGCCTGGGAGCCCCAGGTGCAGGCAGGGAGGGGCCCTCCTGGGTGACCCAGCTGTGCCCTGGGCCTACGCCCTGCACATCACCACGCGTGGCCTCCCAAAACCCTGGGGCCTGGGGGCTCTGAGTCATCACAGCCCCCCACTGGGAACCGCTGGAGGAGGAATGAGGAGTGAATCCCTCCTCGGGAGGCTTCAGCCAGGGTTGCAGCTGTTTGCAAACTGCCAGGGCCTTTCCCATCATGCCGAGAGAGGACCCCCACTCTGGCTCCAGCCCCCACACTGGCCAGCCCCGTGGCGGGTGGCCCCGCCTTGGTGGGCTCAGCCTGAGGGGGGCCTACCCAGGGGGCCCCATTCAGCGCCACCTGGGCCTGTTTCTCTGTCCCTGAATTTGGGGGCCTGGGGATGTCCAGTCAGGACTGGTGTGGGAGGGGTAGGGCTGGGGGCCCAGCTGGGGCCCTGGCCTGGCCTGGGGGGAGGCACCTGTTGCTGAGGGGACCACCACCCAGGGGAATGGGGGGGCCTGTGCGCGTAGCCCACACGGGGGTGCTCTGGCCCCCAACAAGCTTGGCACAGACGGGGGTCCCCTGCCAGCCCCGCCCCCCCCCATCCCTGGTGGGCCCGTTCTCGCTCGACCCTCGCCGACTGCTCCCCTGCCCTGTCTGGCTGGGCTCAAGCTGGCTGCCCCGTCCAGGGCTGGGTGGCCCTGCCTGCGGCTCTGGGCAGGGGCCTCGGCCTTTCATCTGACTTCAAAGCCCTCAGCCCTGTTATTATTCTGGGAACCCAGCTGGGGAGCAGCTGCTAGCGAGGCGCAGCGCCCCGTTTGCGGTGGGAAGCTCCAGGCCTGGGCCGCTCTGGATGGAGCCTCTGCTCTGCCTCCTGCTGGGGTCCGTGGCCACCTGCAGACGGGACACTGCTGCGCACCCCCACTCTGGGGGGCGGGGGGCTTCCTTCCAGCCCGAGTCAGGAAGAAGCTCCCCCAGGCTCACTTGCCCCTGCTTCCTGGGCCCTTTCTGGCCCAGCAGGCTTGAGCGCCCACCGCACGCTGGGTCCTGGGGCCAGAGGACTGCTTGGTGTCCCTTTGTGCCATGGTCACACATGGGCGACGGGGGCGCGGGCATGGTGGCACGGGGCGGCCTGTGGAAGTGGGCACCTTCTGGAGCCAGCCCAAAGCCAGGACCCTGGTCCCCCCTGACTGCGGTGTCCTGGGAAGTGGCTGCCCTGCAGTGGGCCCAGACCGCGGGGCCCTGGCTCCCCAGGGCTGGGGGACGGGGGGGGGGCCGGGGCGCCTGTGTCCTCTGCTTGTGACAGCTTGCCAGAGCGTCCCCGGCTGGGCCCTGGGCTTCCCGCAGCACCCCCTCCCCCCAGGCCCCTGTGGCCTGGGGGCCCAGGTCTCCAGGCTGCTGCCCGCGCCCCTCCCGCCAGCTGCAGGGAGCGCTGGGGCCTTGGGCTCGGCCATGCCTGCTCCCAGCAAACAGGAAGCTGGGGGGGCTGGTTTCTGCCCGACATTGTGTTTACTGAGGCGGGGTCCAGGCCCCACTTCCACACAGGAAACCCGGGGGCAGGGAGGGGCTGGAGGAATTCCCTGGGCGGCCAAGGAGAGGCGCTTCCTGCCCTGCGCAGGCCAGGGAGGAGGCTGCATCCGCCGGGGGTGGGGGCCGCGTGGGGGAGGTGCCCACGGGGTGGGGGCGGGGTGCGCCCGTGGCCGCGGGCCCTGGCTCAGGCCGGGTCTGTCTGCCTGTGGCCTGGACTGCGGTGGGGCCGCTGGGGGTGGACCCGCCTCCAGGCAGACGGCCAGATGGTCCTGCCCGCACCCTGAACCCCTTGGCCGCCTCGGAGAAGCTGGGGCCTGTGGATGGGCCTCCTCTCCCTGCCCCTGCCCCCTCTCACCTGGGAGGTCAGCCCCACAGGGGCAGAACAGAACCGTACTGGGGGGCCGCTCCCCAGACCTGGCCTTCTGTTATCCTGTGTGTTTCCAAACCGTCTCTGAAGGGCAAACGTTTGCCTCCCGGGCACCCTGAAGGACTTGGGGTCTCCACCCCATCCCACACAGCCCGTCCCGCCGGCACTCCTGCAGGGCTGGCCCCCTCTGGCTGGACGCTGGGCCAGGCGACGGCTCTCCAGGCTGTGGGTGCTGAGCCGAGCTGGGAGCAGGGCCAGGCGGGGCGCCCCCCTCCCCGCGCCCCACCCGGCCCTGCCCCCCATTGCCCGTCCTGGCCAGGGCCACGTGGCCGCGCTGTGGAGGAGGGTCTGGGGGGACGGCCGCCTGGCCACCAGGCTCCGCGCTGGGTGGACCCTTGGCCCAGCCTCGGCTCCCCCGGCCCGGCGTCTGGAGCAGGCTGTCTGCTGCACCACGGGCCTGGGTGGCCGCCCGGTGGTGGGCCGGGGGGACGTGCTGACCCCCTTTGTGGGTGCCGAGCCGGCCAGCCCGTGGGCACTTCCTGAGGCGGGATGGGCCAGGCTGAGAGTGGGCTGTGGCCGGTGGAGTGGCCTCGCTGTCCGGTGCCACAGGCCTTCCCACCCCCAGTGGCCCCCCAGGGGCAGGGCAGGGGCCACCAAGGACCCAAGTGGGAGGGACCCACCCTGGAGCGAGGACCCTGGGGCTGCTGCCGCCCAGCTTGCCAAGGCCCCGGGGTGTCTGAAGACCTTCGGTGACCCTCAGTGGGCACTCGGGACCTGCTGGGGGCACTCGGGTCACCCTTGAACCTGTTCCTGAGCCTCGGAGGGAAGCGGTCCCTGGGTGCAGCTCACCTGGCCGGACACTCGCCCTTGACCAGCTCAGGCTGCCACATACACACGCACTATGCACCACACACAGACATGCAACACACCACACAGAGACACACGCCACACACAGACACACAACACACAGACACGCAACCCACACGCACACCACACACACACACACCACACAGACACACCACACACACGCACCACACACACGCACCACACACACACACCACACACAGACACACCACACAGACACACCACACACACACCACACACAGACACGCAACCCACACGCACACCACACACACACCACACAGAGACACACGCCACACACAGACACACAACCCACAGAGACACACACACCACACAGAGACACACGCCACACACAGACATGCAACCCACACGCACACCACACACACACATCACACAGACACACCACACACACACCACACACACGCACCACACACACCACACACAGACACGCAACCCACACGCACACCACACACACACACCACACAGACACACCACACACACACACCACACACAGACATGCAACCCACACGCACACCACACACACACCACACAGAGACACACGCCACACACAGACACACACACACCACACAGAGACACATGCCACACACAGACACACAACCCACACACAACCCACACACAACCCACACACACACACCACACACA